TCAACATACATTTTCGTAATAAATTTTTATATTCTGAATCTTATTCATTTTCATTAAAATAATGATCTTCCCAAGATATATCCTACTGATCATCCTTTTCAGATAGTAATTTTAATTTTCCCTTCTATTTATAATTAACTTAAGTTAATTCACTCAGAGTCATTTCAATAGCTAAGTAAGTACAAAAATATTAAAGATCAATAAAAAAACTCTACAAATTGATATTTTTTTCTAATTCTTTCCATTTCTATATTTGTGAAGCATGATAAAAGTCAAAAAAATACTTATAAAAATCAAATGCAGTAAATTGATGTAATTAAAATGCTGCAACCACAAAATTTGCATCAAATTCTACTGTAAAACTAACTTTGAGCTCATTCATTATATCATTGTCTTTATAAGTAAATTAATGAGCAATAGAGTTTTATTCAAAAAAATTTTAATTATCTAACTCATTTAAGATATATTCACAAAGTTTAAGCAATTATATGTCATCAATTATATTATTTCCTTAAGTTTTAATCTATAATATTTTCTAATCTTGTTTATGTTAATTTTAATCAATTTGCAAATATTTTTTAAGTAACTAATTTGACTTTATAGCTTCTTGTTTCAATTTAAGATAGTTTTACTTCAAGACTTATCTCATAAAAGTAGCTTAAGAGAAAAAAGATGACATTTTTGGCAACAAATAAACAATAATTTCAAGCATAAAAGGTGTATTTAACAGATTTTATATTTTAACTTTTTTGATTGTTTGAGTAAATTTTTAATAACCCCATAATTAAAGTAAATCTTTATTTAATGATATCATTTAATCAGCTTTGAATAACTAAAAAAACTATATTTATAACATCTTTAATATTATTTTTCTGTGTCTTTTGGCTAGAATAATAGTTATTCATTTTAATTTTTGTAACAAAATCTTTTTTACTGTTTCTTCAATTTAACTCCAAATTATTTTAAATTCATTAAATGAAAAACTTTAAGCTTTTAATTACTTAAGAAATTCATAAAATCTTTTTATTGCTCTTTTTACACTGACTTTAGAATACTATGTTAAATATTCATTACTTTAATCAGAATTAAAGGGAACTAATTCAACTTCTTTAAGAGTACTTATACTTTTTCCATAAAACCAAGTTTGATAATCAATGGAATTTAATATTTCTTGTCTAGAAGTTATAATAATTTTAAAATTTTATCCAGATTCTGTAAGATTAAATTCTTAAACAAATCTATTTGAATTGTATAGATTTTATTCTAAACAATCTTACTTCATCTCATCGTAACTTTCAAGAATTAAAACAATACTTAAATTTTTTTATTTTACTGCCTCCTTAAAATCTCTTATTTATATGCTATCAAAGTTATAATTTTATGGTTCCAATGCTTAATCAATTAAATTATGTCTTGGATCTTTAATAGATGGCAATGAAACATAAATTAGAATCCATTTTGGTTCTATTTAATCGCAACTCCATAATAATTCTTCTATATTTTTAGCAGCTCTGCTTTTTCCTTAACCTGCTTTTCCTTTTAAAAGCAGTACATCTTTAATTTTTTCATTTTCATCCCATAAAAATTCATTTACTTCTCCCTCAAAATCATTATAGATTTTTTTAAAAGATAAGAAGTTTTATCTTAATTTTAAGATTATTTTTTATTTCCTGATACTGGATCATATTCTTAAGTATAGATTTCAATATGTATTTAATATAATTCATTCTCATCCTTCTATTTTAATATTTATTTTTTCCTAATAAGTAGTAATTCAACAAAATTCTTTCCTCTAAGTCTTCGAACATCATTGGCTATATCACTTACATTTTGCAAAATTTAATCTATTGAGCTTTTGATATGCTTTACATCTTTACTTAATTCTTTCAAGAATATCATACTAATATCTAATTTTTTAGACATATCTGTGATATTATCAAAATAAATTTCAAAATCATCTAAGGCTTATTGTAATTATTCTTTTGATTGAATTGAATAATCAGTTAATACAGAATTTTCAAGTTATTCAATTCTATTAAGCAAATTTTTCATTTCACCTTTGATTTAATTTGTCATTGTAGTGAGATCATTTCAAAATAATTGTTTCTACATTTCTATCATTCCCTTATTTTTAAGTATATTTCTAAGATCACCATGTTTCTCATAAATCCATAACTTTTGTAATAAATTTTAACAAAACTCTTTGATTTTGGTTTCTCAAATTAAAGCATCAATTTTTATAACATTAAATGCCAATGCCTCTCTTACTTTATGAGAAGAATTCCAAAAAATCTCAGATAAAATATTAGTTTTTTATGTATCTAATGTAGTAGAGTCTTTTAAACTTTTTACCAACTCTTAGTATATTAAACAATATTTAATTTCTGTATTTCCATTTTATGATTATATTTTATATATTGAATGACTATTAAGGAGAATTAAATTAATTTTCATTTTGTCAATACATTTTTGATTTGATAAATGCTAAATATTATCCTAATT